TCTTGACAGTAGATGAAGTGACAAGCCTTTGCGCTTAATTAAGACACATTGTCCCACCAATTGGGAAGCAGAAATGGCTGGGCTGTTTTACAAATAGAAACAATTCTTGTTCATTATCCCTTAATTGTGGCAACAAAGGGCTCTGGAAAACATCCATCAGAACACATTCATGAACATTAGCAGAGAGGATTCGGTTTAGGACCACACAAAAGGAACAGCAAATGTTCCAATCAGGAGTTATACAGACAAAGGGAAACAAAGGCCTGAAAGCACAAATACTGAAGAATTAGCCCAATTACACACTCGATGTGGTGGGGAACAAGTTTCCTGGCTTCTGGCCAGCTCTTCTCCTTGCCTCTTTTTACCTTCTTCCTTTTCCCTGGTACCAGATGGATAGGGGAAAGAAAGGAACCTCCCAGACCCTCTGGGAACCCGGCTTTGGTCCCCGGGATGGGGAAGAGATGGGTTAACAGAGAGTCTTGAGGGACCCAAAACTGTAATCTGAATTCCAGATGTGGTCTGCCTGTAATTGTCACCTTCTTCATTTTGGTCACTATACTTCTTGTGATGCAACCTAAGATACTCTGTCCCAGTATGGATTTTAAGGTCAGCTTGTGGTTGGTTGAAGTTGCTGAACTGTTTTTATAATTTTTTTTTTCAGGCTAGGTATTCCCCATCCTATATTTACACAATTGCATTTTGGGGTCCAAACAAGTTTATATCCATTCTTGTTTGTCCCAGCCCATTTGTCTGGTCACTCAGTGGAGCTGAGTGGATGTGGCCTCCTGGGACCACTACCCAGAACTATTCTTGGAAGCAAGCCTGCTTGTCTTTCTCCTCCAGGTTCTCTTGGGAGCTAGGTAAAGAGAAGCTTGCATGCATTAAGATAGGAAGAGCTTTTAAAAAATCGTTCCTGATTGGTTAGGAAATGACTGATCCTTGTGTCAGAGTCATTTGAACCAGGGCAACTCCATCTTGAATGGTGCTGGGTAAAATGTGGCTGAGACCTACTGGGCTGCATTCCCAGATGGTTAGTCATTTTAAGTCACAGAATGAGATAGGAGGCTGGCACAAGATATAGGTCATAAAGACCTTGCTGATAAAACAGCTTGAATTAAAGGAGCCGGCTAAAACCCATCAAAACCACGATGGTGACAAGAGTGACCTCTGGTCGTCCGTCCTCACTGCTACACTCCCACCAGTGCCATGACAGTTTACAAATGCCATGGCAATATCAGGAAGTTACCCTATATGGTCTAAAAAGGGGCGGCATAAATAATCCGCCCCTTGTTTAGCATATAATCAAGAAATAATCGTAAAAGTGGGCAACCAGCCTCCCTTGAGGTTGCTCTGTCTATGGAGTAGCTATTCTTTTATTCCTTTACTTTCCCAGTAAACTTGCTTTCAGTTTACTCTCCTTGAATTCTTTCTTGCTCGAAATCCAAGAACCCCCTCTTGGGGTCTGGATCGGGGCCCCTTTCTGGTAATATCTTTCTTGCGACCACTGAAGGGACTATAGTGCGGAAACCCCTGACCCAAAGGCTAACTTTGGGTGAGTGGTGAGGTCTGGTAATATCTTTCTAGTGACCCACAGAAGAGACGACACCGAAGAACAAGCCCCACATCGCCCCCCTCCCACCCCCACAATCTTCTTTTTTTTTTTTTTTTTTTTTGAGACGGAGTCTCGCTCTGTCGCCCAGGCTGGAGTGCAGTGGCCGGATCTCAGCTCACTGCAAGCTCCGCCTCCCGGGTTCACGCCATTCTCCTGCCTCAGCCTCCCGAGTAGCTGGGACTACAGGCGTCCGCCACCTCGGCCGGCTAGTTTTTTGTATTTTTTAGTAGAGACGGGGTTTCACCGTGTTAGCCAGGATGGTCTCGATCTCCTGACCTCGTGATCCGCCCGTCTCGGCCTCCCAAAGTGCTGGGATTACAGGCTTGAGCCACCGCGCCCGGCCACCCCCACAATCTTCTGAAGGAAATAGACTGCAGCACTGATTGGCTGACTTTGGGTAAGTGGTGGGCTACCCAGGTAAAGGGTGGGACTGGGTTAGAGATCCAGCTTAGGGGAGTTACAGTCTTGCCTAAGACACAGGGTTAAAGGCTCTTCTTGATAAAAGGGAAGGATGCTTGACCAACCTTGGGTTTGAGGACTAACTTAGGAGTGTTAGAGTCCCTCCTAAGACTTAGGCTGTTAGAGGCCCTTTTCAGTAAAGTTCCTCTTGGCTAAGAACAGGTTTGGCACTATGGGATGGTAACTGCTATTCTCTTGGATGAATCTGTCTTGGACTCTTTGCTGATGGTAATGGGTGACAGAGTTAGGCATGTACAGGATTGTTGGACATGGGGAACTTTTTCCTCCCTAAAAGGGGAAACTTGAGAGCTGATGGGACTGCTGGAAGAGATCCCTTCAGGATTGAGAAGCAGCTGCCTGAACTTTTCAGTGTCGCTGCAACGGGTGGATCTTTCCCTGGCCTCCCTGAGTGCCTCCCCTTCCCCACCCTGCCTCAGGCAATGCTTTCTCTCTCTCTCTCTCTCTCTCTCTCTGTGTGTATGAACTGGTTGAATGAATGGTAAAAAAAATCACTGTTTATCTCCTCTGTAAAGTTTTGATTAATGGAAAAAATGATTTGTGAGGCTAGTTTCAAGCTGTAGTGAATCTGGTGTGCTTTGTGTGCCTTTCTGTATGGCTCTGTCATGGAGAGAGATACCTTGGGTTAGAATGCGGGCCTAGGACACCTGTGAGCCTGCTGTTCAAGACAGCCCAGCAAATTGATCAGTTACAAACTTTGCTGCTTGTCCCTAAAAAAAGCTGGAGGAGGTTTCCTTCTTGTCTTGTATGTCCTTGGGAGCTTGATCCTGTAACCATGTGGCCATGCTTTCTCTTTTCACAATGGAGGCCCGGGTTCAGGGTTCAATCCCTAGCCTAAGGGATGAGCCTTTCTAATTGATATTTGGGTGACCTTTGCAATTTTTAAATTCTCTTTCCCTCCACAAACCATCTTAAATTTTCCTTTCTCAGAGCCCCTGTGAGGTTACTTTTGGTAAAGTTTAAAAGCCAGAAATATCAGCCGTTTGGCCTGGCTAACGTTGGGTAATAAGAAATTTAAAAGGACTTTTCAAAAGAGTGCTATGGTCAAAAGTCTGCTTAATTAAAAGCAGATATTCAAGTTCTAACAGCCCTAGGGATTCCCTGGGAAAAACAGAGGAGGCACTAAAGACCCCTGTTTTGGGAAAAACCTATTTTCCTCATGAAACCTTAGGAATTGAAAGTGAATAACTCCCTTTCAAAACCTAAGGTGCTGTTTTGTTTTGTATTGCGTTATCTGACCCTTTTTACTTTTGGTGGTATCAGAAGTTACTTTGCATTATGAGAGAATTTAGTGTGTAATAAGTAGGTAGGAAATACACTTTTAGGGAAGTCTAATAGCAGTTATGGGGGATACTTGGCTTTTCGCACATTTGGATCAGAGAAGCATGCTCTTGGCCACCTAGGAAATGTGGAGCTGTCCCCATCCACTACTGAGAAATAAGACTTCCATGGGGTGATGGGGTGAATCTCTCTTTTTGGGGTCCAGGATCTTGTATAAAAATGGGACCCTTACATTTTGGGGATCTGTTTTGCCTTCCAGCTGTGCCTGCTTATTAGGCCCTAAAAACGGCACACTTTAAAGAGAAACTTAGAAACTGGTAAATAAAAATCCTTACAACTACATAATCATCTGTCTGTCTGGGTATTTATATGCATTGTGTGTGTGATGTTTATACCTAAAAGAACTTTACTTAATTGATTTTAAAATAATGAGAGCTTAACTCAAATATTTTAAAAGAAAAAAATTGTAATGTCTTTTCGTTTACATGACTTTAATAATCTTTGGGAAATAAAAACAGCTTTAAAGATTATTGGTAAAATAAAGACACTTGGTCTAAATCAGGCAGGTCAGATTTTAAGTTTGCTAAATGCTTTAAGGTCATAAACTGCTTCTTTGATTTTTTAAAAATTGTTCAATTTATTTTGAAGCATTAGATTTAGATAAGGCTCCGGACGTGTGGTGTTAGCCATGCCCCCAGCTGTGCTGAAACAAGACCTTATCTAGTGTCCTAGGCTCCACACCTAGTACATAATTAAAATTGCATACTTACCAAGGTTTTCACCGAAAGCAAAAGTCACTAAGAGTTAACAGTGTAACATGTATTTGAGACTACCGAAGAAACGGTTTTACATGCACGGTATATAAGAAAATGGAAATGTGTTTTTGGTAAAAGATTATAAGAAGTCATAGGAATGTGGATTTTTCTTGCCTAAACTAAAGGGTTAAAGGATTATTTTAAGTCAGATAAGATAAAGCTGAAGGTTTAAGCAAGTTGTGGAAGGTTTGTGAAAAATTAATTGTAAAAGAAATTCTGTGTGTGGACATTGACTAAAATTAAAGGGGTGTTATTCAGTTTTTCTGTAAACTGAACATTGAATAACAGCATGACAGGTTTTTCTTAGAGCGCTATTCTGCTCTTTAACAAAAAATTGTAAAAGGTTAGAAAAGGTTTATGAGAATCTTATGATCAAACACAAAATTGGATAAATTTATTTATAAAGTTTTATTAAGAATTGGGTTTAACATTAATAGTACACTAATGTAAAGGTGAAATTTGGCTTATTTGGTATAAAAGCACACAGGAAGCACTGTCAAATATGAAATAGTATTTGGCTTTCTTTGGGCTATATTTGTATAAATATGTTATTGGTATGGGTTTCAAAATAATGGGAAACTTTTAATTCTGATATGGCTTAGTGTAGGTTATTAATAATTATAATTGTTACATAAAATTATTGTATGCCAAAGAAGTAACCAAATTTGTCAATCATGTTTTTTACTGTGGCTGTCCTAAAATGTTTTGTCATCCATGGACAATTGTTACTTTGTTTTAATCCTCTTTAGAAGGTGGTTTATAATCAGCTATAAACTCTAATAGGTGTTCTTAAATGCAGGTTTCTGATAACTTTGGAAACTGTGATATTAGAATAGAGGAAAAAACTTTCAGTACTCTCATGGAGAGCTGAAATGTTCATGAATCAAACAAAACAGGAGTTAACGGCATGGACTGAACTTTAACTAGAAGATTAAAGTAATCTCTTCGACTTTTTGCTTAAAGTGTTGCTAATCCTTTGTTTTGTTTTACAGAGTCAAGAAAACTTTTCTTTTGAGCTATTTACAGCTTTTAACAATTGAGCAAGGTATATTCCTGTAAACAAAATTTGAGCATATTTGTTTCTGTCTACCTGATTTCTCAAAAATTCAGAAATTGTCTGTGAATAGCTTAACTTGTGGCAATATACTTATTTGCATAAGTGTAATAAGAATCTGTTTTCTTTTGTAACAGGACACAGTTAGAGAAATTGGCTATTTTACCAAGGCTTTGACTGGAATGGTATGTTTTCCTTTAAGGAATTAAACTTGACTTACAGAGCCAATAAAAGACCCTTGGGAAAGATGTCCGTATACCTTGTCTACACAGTCCCTGTACAGGATTCTTGACTTGTGGTAAGTGAAGAATGTCAGTTTCTAGCAGGCCCAGGAGCCCCAGGTCATCTTGCAACCTCAAGAGGAGCCCCAGGTTATCTTGGAACCTCAAGAGGAGAGGAATTTACTCAACTCTTTGATGGTACAAACTCATGGCGGGGCTCAGCTTTAAAAAATCTTATCTGAGATTCCTTATGGAACAGAGTTCCATCAAAGCCAATTAAAAAGTCTATGTGAAAAATAATTATTCTTGCTGCACTTTATACAAATAATTAGGCCAAGTATACAAAGCAAATCAGTTTTAACTGTGATTTGTCTTTAGTAAAAATGGGAAACTGGAGACAGAAATTATGTTTCAACAACTATGGTACACTTGTTATTAGATTCTAGTCTCATCAGTTGTTTTTGAGTTTTTTCCTGCAACTTAGGCTGACCCTGCTTATTCTTGTGAACTAACCAGTGATCTTTGGCTGCTGCTCAAAAGAAACAAAAAGGATGGGTAATGTCAAAAGCTGGATCAGTATTCTAATTCTGGGCACACTGGAATCATCTAGAAACCCCATATCAGCTTGGCCCATATCATCTTGGTTCCAACAGTTACCCAGTTTGTGGAAAGCCTTCTTATTTAGTCTACTTGGAATAATTTTTACTTATTTTGCTTCACTGTTTTGGAATATGTTGCTGTTGTACACTTTGTGTAGGATGCAGGACAAGTTTACACAACGTTTTCTTAAATTAAACACATTAATTTTCTAGATATCACCTTTTGCTGGAACTCAAGAGTTATGAATGGCCCTCAGCATACCTATGCTTTCTGACTGAGCTCCTCTCTGCCATGAATACAACAGACCCAATAGTTGGGTAGGAATAATATCGCCGCTATTCAGCCTGAAGAAGTTATGGAAGATGGGTCTTCATCCTTCTGCAACCCTTAGAATTAAAGGTTCTCTTATAACAGGGATGGGGAAAATGTCAGAAGACTTTGAACCAGAGCAACTCCATCTTGAATAGGGAATGGGTGAAATGAGGCTGAGACCTACTGGGCTGCGTTCCCAGATGGTTAGTCATTCTAAGTCACAGGATGAGATAGGAGGTCAGCACAAGATACAGGCCATAAAGACCTTGCTGTTAAAACAAGTTGCAATAAAGAAACCAGCTCAAATCCACCAAAACCAAGATGGTGACAAGAGTGATCTCTGGTCGTCCTCACTGCTACACTCCCACCAGTGCCATGACAGTTTACAGATGCCATGGCAACATCAGGAAGTTACCCTATATGGTCTAAAAAGGCATAAGTAATCCGCTCCTTGTTTAGCATATAATCAAGAAATAACCATAAAAAATAGGTGACCAGCAGCCTCAGGGCTACTCTGTCTATGGAATAGCCATTCTTTTATTCTTTAACTTTCCTAGTAAACTTGCTTTCACTTTGCTCTATGAACTGTGTACTGAATTCTTTCTTGTGTGGGATCCAAAAATCTTCTCTTGGGGTCTGGATTGGGATCCCTTTCTGGTAACACTGGTACAAAACTTGGAAATCACCAGAAAGTACAAAAAAGCAGAAGTAAATAAATGGATCCCTCTGGGCTGCAAGATAGTTTCTATGAACAATTTTATTTCCTTCTAGTCTTCCTTTCAGGCACATTTTCCCATTTGTGGTTGAGAACATGGAACCTGTGACCTCAACTCTGTAACCTGTCTTTTCCCCCTCTACATTTTACCATCTGCATTTTTTCATGTGATCGGAAACTCTTTCTAATCATCATTTTAGTGACTGCACAATGTTCCGTCATATGGATGTGCCATAATTTTTTCCTTATCCCAGAACATGTGGGTTGTTTCTAGCTTTGTTTGTTATGAGTGATTCTGTCTTGGGCATCTTTGTGCAGAGAGTGCTCATATGTCAGATTAGTTCTCTGAGACAGATTCCTCGCAGTGAAATTGTAGGAGTTAAAATAACTATTTTAAGGGTATTGCTACATGTCGCCAAATTACTTTGAAAAAAGCTACGCCAATTTATACTCTCATTAGCAAAGTAGGACAGTACTTGTTCCAGTTTTTTTGTTTGTTTTTTAGAGATGGAGCCTTGCTCCATCACCCAGGCCTGAGTGCAGTGGTGCAATCATCGCTTGCCACTGGAACTCTTGGGCTCCATTCCTCCTGCCTCAGCTTCCCAAGTAGCTGAGACTACAGGTACAGTTCCAGTTTTGTAGCACAGATGTTCCTTGAGTTGCGATGGGGCTATGCCCCGATAAATCCACAGTAAATCGATAATATTGTTAAGTTAAAAATGCGTTTAATCCACCTAACCTACTGAACATCGGAGCTTAGCTTAGCCTGCCTTAAACATGCTCGGAACACTTACATCAGCCTACGATTGGGTAAAATCATCTAACACACAGCCTATTTTTTAATAGTGTTGAATAGCTCATATACTGCATATGGCTAGCCCGGGAAAAGATCAAAATTCAAATTCAAAGTATGTCAAAATTGTGATGGTTTCACACCATCATGAAGTTGAAAAATTGTAAGTTGAACTATCCTAAGTCAGAGACCATCTGTATTTATTTTGGCAGTATGTATATGCGTGTTGGGTGTCGAGGGGAGAGTTAGCACGCATCTCACGTGTTTATCTGGCTCTAGGAAAGGGAGAAATCGCCCGAGCCCCCACCGCACTGCAGGGGGCTTCCTCCAAGCTGCATAATCAGCTGCCTGCTTCTCCCCAGTCCCCGCCCCCTCTGCATTCCTCCCAGTTTGCCTAAACCTGGTGCAAACTGTGTCCCTCTCCTGTGACAGTTCAACCCTTACTCCTTTTGCCGGTCTGCCCCACCCTCCTCGGAGGCTGGGTCTATTGCTCCAGGACACCCACGCACTGTGTTCAAATCCTGCTCCTGCCCCCTGCCCTAACGTCTGCCTGTGTGACCTGGGCAAGTTATTTCATCTCCCTGTGCCTCCGTTTCTTCCTCCGTAAATGGTGATAAAAATTGTGCCTACCTCCTGGGGCTGTTCTAAGAATTAAAGGAATTCAACATATGTGAAGCATGAGCACATGGTAAGCGCTGATTTGTGTTGGAACCATCTGCTTCCATCGCGGGGAGTTTGTAGACTTTATTACAGGTTTGGGCCCCGCGGGGAGCCTGTGGCCCTGTGTATCTTCTACCTCTCTGTGTTCCCAGCAGGGCAACCAGAGTGGGCCCTTCATCCTCCACAAGAGCGACTTCTGCGGTGACACCAACACCTGGTATGCGGATGCAGGCCTGGTATGCGGATGCAGGCCTGGTATGCGGATGCAGCTCCAGCAAGCTCTCCGTACTTCCCGCCCTTTGAGCCCAAAAGTGATTGTTTGTCATCACCCCAGGCAGGTTTTGGAGAAGCTGACAGCAGAGAATGGCTGGCAGGATCATCGGGACAGCTAGATGTTCTCAGGGCTGCTGGGTCCTGACTTTTGCAGGCAGAGAGGAAAGAGTCTTCAAGTCAGAGGCTCCCAGAGGAGTGCTCAGCGGAGGCTCTTGCTGCCTTGCACCGCCCAGGGAAGCAGCCACTGGATGCTTCCTTTTAAGATGCCAACAGCTGTAGTCCTGACCCCCGTGGAGAGTGGTCAGGCCAGCAGGGGATGGACTAGCCAAGTCTACCTAGGGGAGCCAGGTACTCAGGGGATGGGTTACCCAAGGGCTAATAACCAACCAAGTCTTTCAGATCATGCATCCGAGGCCAAGCACTCCCTTGTATCTCAGACCTAGAACTGGCCTCCCTGTCTGCCAGCCACTTTCACTGTTTAAGCACGAAGGATTTAGCCCAGGTGGATAGGGGGAGCGGCTCTCAGCCCAGTCTCCAGGACTGGCCCACAGTGGGCCTGCCCTCCTGCCATCACGGGGATGCCAGGGAATCTGAAAGCCTGGATGTTCCTGCTAGAGCCACACCAGCAGCCCTCAGAAGTCTCATTGCTCCCTCTCAACCCTCGGAGCTGTGACCATGTGCACTCAGGCAAGATGTGATGTGGACGGCAAGAGGGAGGCCCCATAGGCTCTGCTTTCACTGGAAGCCTCGTCATAGAGACCCTGGGTTTGGCTGCAGCAAAAGCACTGGCAGGGCCTCTTGCTCTCTTCTGTGTTTTAGATCTCAGCCAGTGCATGTGAGTGGCTGAAGCAGAAATCCTACCTAGAACGGGGCTGTGAGGGAGCCTGGGAAAGGCTGGGCCCACCTCCAGCTTCTGCGTCATGGGGAGCACAGCAGAGGATGTCTTTCTCCACCTGCTTCATCCATCCAAGTGCTACTGTCCAGCCATTGAGGGGCGTCAACTGTCCTCTCTGCCTTAATGACATCTGTCTCCTGTGACAGACAGGATCATTTGCTCCCAGGGGTGGGGTGGAGTCAGGCCCCAGGGAATTCAGACCAAGACCTACTCCCTGCTGCCTCTCCCTTGGTGAAGTTGGGAGAACATCTCTCCCTTTTTCATGTATTTTTCTCACAACCAGTTCCCTTGGACTCTTACCTTCAAGCACCAGTGCTCTTAAAAATATTTCCTGCAAATAGAGACAGTGCTGTCCCCAAGAGGAATTCTGAGGATGAAAAGATTTTCCATCTCATTACAGGTGTAATTGCTCTTTTCTCCCTTTGTTTGCAAGTCATAGAAATGTGCACAGACTGGCTTATGCAAGAAAAGGAATTTACCGGCTCATAGAACTAAAAAGTCTGAGGTGGAATTCAGGTGTGGCTGGATGTAGGTGCTTCAGTGATGTCATCAGCCTCCTCTCTTTTCTCCTTGTCTCTGCTCTGCCTTCCTCCACAGTGCTCAGGAAAAAATATCCCAAAGAGGTGGCAAAAATGGTCATTATAAACTCTTTGTTTTCATTTCACAAGATTGGTCATCCCAGCAGAAAAAATATGTCTGCTTCCCAAGAGTTCTCACCAAACTCCCAGAGTGGATTCTTATTGTCCCAGCTTAGGTCAATATCCCTAAGTCTAACACTGATTGGCTGGGTCTGGATCAGGTGCCTGCCTCTGATAGCACCATGGTGGGCCCCATCTGGCCCCCTGAATGGAGGATAATGGACAGATGTTGTTGCCACACGGCCAGCTGCCATTTTCTCCACTGCAGTTACCCAACCTCTGTCCCACTCACTGGATCCATCCTCAGTGCTCTGCTCCTCCTTAATGCACCTGGGGATGGCACCTGCTTCCCAGGTTATTGTGGGCAGCAGGGCACTGGTGGGGTGGGGTCCCCAGATGGGCATTATGGGCTTGAGCCCTGGAACATGCCTTGCTTTCAGGCCCCTCCTCAGTGTCCCCTCTCCTGGGCTTTGAGATTAGGGGCCTTTCCAGAACAGTGAGGGGTGAAGCAGGATAGCGAGATTCTGGTTGTCACGTGGAAGGCACCCCCCGGTTATCACTGGGGGTGGCGTGGACATACAGAGGCTTCACCTTAAGGCCACCCCACATGTCGTGGTCCTTGCATTCTCCAGCTTATTTCTATCATGTCCTGAAGCACATTCACACCAACACAGGGCCAGAGATACCAAGAACTCCCGCAGCTCCCTGAAGACTCTGCTTACAGGGGGGTTTTGGAGAAAATATTCCCTACAACCTTCAGCTTTTCCTCTCTGTCCCTCCCACAGTGGTCAGCACTCACTTTCTGAAGCTTGGCCTGACTTCACTCCAGGCTGGAGCCTCTGCGGATGTCTCTGCTGTGTGGCCGCAGGCCTAGCTGCTAGGCCTGTTTTCAAGGCCTCTGGTGACTGAATCTGCACCTCTGTTCTGAATTCACCCCAAGGTGCCAGCCACTAGTGTTTAGGCCAGTTAGGCCCTTCTTGACTCTGAGCCTTCCCTTGGGGGCCCTGGTAGGAGCCCTCTGCCTCCTTTAGACCCCACTCCCATCCACAAGGGTCACCTCCTTCTGTCTTGCAGGACATCTGATTCTACATCACTCTGCAACCACACTTTTCTGGTCTGCCTGTCACTGTCCCTCAGAGATGCTGCCTGTCCCTCTCCCTCAGAGATGAGTTCCCAGTGACTCTTGCAGGATGACAAAGCACCATCAAAACAGTGCCTTAAGACAACAGCAGTCACATTGTTTTCTCTGGTGGGTGGTGCTGGACTGGGCTGGCTCGGCATCTCCGTGTGGTTGTTGCCAGGTGCAGAGGTGGGGCAACTGGGCTGGCTGCATCCCTGCATG